CCGATACGCGACTGCACTGCAGATTACAATCTGCATATTGTGGTTATGGGAAATTAACTGTTTCTTAGCTCTTATTGCTCGAAGCGTGATGTTTTTCACCCTAAAGCCTTCCTCAGTGAATGGTCCAATCAATACAAAATAATGTCTCAATTCGAACCTTAATAGTTCCTGAGATTAGCGCATTCAAACAAATAAACTCTTCAACTTTATTACATGAGTATAGATACAAATTTAGGAAAGTAAAAAATATGAATAGAAAGCGGTTTAAGTATCTTATATGTTGTATATCTTTTTGCTTTCGGATAAGATAATTAGAGTTAATTTAGAAGGTAGGTATAATTTGAAATCACAACATGACAATGTTGGTATAACAAGTGTTAACTTGTTGTGACTTTTGGTTACATAATTGGTAAACGTCTGGTTTATTTCAGGACACATAGATACATTGTATAAATGTGCTCGTTGGTCTAATTCGTAGCAATGTATCGCTGTAAAGAGGTCGTGAGTTCAAATCCTACCGGATCCAGAAAATTTCTAATTAATTAATAATTTTTCTGCCACGTGTTGGACTTTGTTAGGAAATCTGGATATAAAATGGGTAGTATTGAAATTCCGTCTGGGTATCCGCCGTCCTCAGGTCGAAAAACCGTGAAGTTTAATCGCTTTTCGGTCTGAGTCTATGGATATAGGAAACCTTCCATGACCACTATTGGTGCAAAGCATTTGAAACGTCGGGCCTCAGTTTGAAAAATTGTAAATAATTTAAATAAAACATTTCGCGTTGAAAATCGTTAAAAATGTTAATTTATTCAAAATATACCGGAAATGTATTCAGTTATCCTTGCACATTATGTGTCTAATTAAATATTTACACAAATACATGTCATTGAATTCATGCATATATACTGTAACCAATATATATATTAGTGAATACCTAAAGATATAAACAAGAAAAGTAACCGCAAAATATCAAAGTTACTGGCCCGAAAGGCACTTTAAGCCTTTTCGCAATATCTCCATATATGTGGGTTCAACGAACATTTAGACAATCTACTTGCACAAAATGAGATTGTCGGAATTCTCATTTATAAATGCAGTTTAATGTCTATTATAAAACTGCAGCTGTTAGGCTGTGGTCTCCAATCAACGCTATAGGTAGCGTTACGTAGCACGCTGCGTTAATATGCTTATTATATACTGGCTGATCCGCAAACGTTGTTAAATACAACTCTAACAAATCATTGATAATATAATAAACTACTCCTATTGGTCGCAGCCTGATGTTTTGCAGTCTAAAGTTTTCCTTGATAATTGGTCTAACCGGCACTAAAATATATTTTAACTCGAACTGGTAGTTCCTGAGATTAGCGCGTTCAAATAAACATACAAACGAACTCTTCAGCTTTATATTACTTTGTAGTATAGATTGGATCCTGTTGCTCATTGGTTCTTTATTCTTCTTGTTGCTTTCACAATCTCATGTTCATAAAATTCAAAATAACTAGACAAATACAAATTCTTTATTTTCCAAACAATATTGCTTCCATTTCATCTTAGGGTGAATTAGCTTCCACACTATGATTCTCTGTGTCGTAGGCGGCTAGTCTAGACGCGGCGTAGATTGTGCGAAGGAGACAACAACAGTTCGTTTCTTTAATACGTAAGCGACATTTAAAAGCGCGAGTTAACACGTTTGAAGGAGACCATAGCCTTATCGTTTTTAAACGGTCGTGATAATTGCGAAATATCACAAATTATGTTGGAGCCATTGAACTACTTGGTAGGTTATGACGGTAGAAAAGAATTGGTTGCGTTATGCGTAGATATCATGTTTCGTCGTTGTGTCAGTTAAATAATTTTGACTTTGTCTATGTTTACGCGAGTAGTACACATTTAAATAAAACACTTTAACGGTTTAAAACGCGATATATTAGTTAAACTTATTAGAAAATGATTCTCCCCATGACCACGGCTGCTGCAAAGCATCCGAAACGTCGGGCCGAAGTTAAAAATCATTTTCAAATAAGTTTAACTAATATATCGCGTTTTAAACCGTTCAAGTGTTTTATTTAACTTTCACTTTATTGTACTGTGCTACATAATATTATAACACTTACCTGATAAAGAAAATGGATAATTTATCTACGTCAAAATTATGAAGGACCTTTTTTAATGATGGATCAATTTTCTATTCGTTAAAGATACAATATATTTTTTGTAGTAGAGAAATACAGACGAGAATGAGGTTTATTTGAAGATAGGTGAAATATGTCAGCCATATAACATAAAACAAGATGTGCTGTCGGCCTAATTTGGCTTTGGATAAAATGTATTTTCATGGAGTGAGTAGCGTTGCTCAATTTGTACGAGAAGTACGTTCGCGAGGTCGGCGGGTCGATGCTCGGCCGTACACCAAAATACTCTGACGTATTTGCTAGATATTTTTTTATGATATAGAAGGACAGATACATAAAAGGTGTCATACTTAGCTATATACATCCAAACGAGATTCGCTATCGAACCATTTTAGCTTTGTACATTCGGAAATCCACTGACTGCAACCGAAACGAGATTTAACTTGACTTTTTCATCTGTAGACGGTGGTCGTGACCCGGACGGAATTTAGATATTCCTACCACCCATTAAATGACTGAATAGTCTTACATATTCTAGAAAAAATGTATATGGTAGGCTCAGGTTGTGGGAACCTAAATAGGGTATGATGAATCATTTTATTAACTCTTTTCAGTTTAAAAATCGAAAATAAATTGAAAAAAGTTTCGTATCGGGCAGGACTTGAACCGGCATCGTCAGCGTTCCGTGCTGTTGCTCTACCAATTGAGCTACCGAGTCCTATAGTATATAGTGTTTTCATTTTACTAAATGTTTTCGCTCAATGATTATAATCCTTTTTAAACATCTACGTTAAATATGGTATCTACCCTCGTTTTCCTTTAAGACGCGATATATACAATTAGATACAACTACACCACTTAATGATTTATAATACCCTATTTGTTTAATTGCCATGAAACTTATCAAATGTTATTGCTCACTGAACTTGGCCCAGATTCTATAAGTCTGCTTTATATATAATTATATCGATTACACGCAATTAGATTATGCAAATGTTTTCTTTGTTACGTAAATATTGTTTAAGTAAACGTGTTTAATACGCGTATAGGCAACGCTGAAACAACTTGAGAACAATATTAGGTGTACATTGTTGCATGTAGTTTACGCGAGTTATACTACTCGCGTATAGATATAGATTTAACGATTTAAAACGCAAATTATATCATATTATATTGTAACTACTCAGAAGTATCGCGTGCGCTGCAAAGGATCCGAAAAGTCGCGTCGGGCCATAGTTAATATAAAATAAAAATAAGTTAATCAATATATTTCGCGTTTTAAAAGTCAGTAATTCAAACGTATGTTTTATTTTAACTGTCCATTATTATTATTTCTTTTGTCTTATTAAAATATTTGGACTTATAATTATGGGTCCTTTTTAGCTTTAAAATGGCAATTAATATGGATGATAGTAAAATACACTTTTGTATGTAGTTACAATAATTATAATGATTTTTACAAAAGCAAAGTTTGATGTCTGTAGTGGATTCGATTTTTTGTTTATGTTTCTCGATACGAAATTTATTTATTTTTTTTATATTAAAGTTAGTATGAGCTTAGTAAGTAGTTGGTAGTAGTTATTGTCTGTGATAATATTTATAGAAATATCTTTATTTGTATATTCTCTATGATATGTTACTGTGGTATTTTTGTTTGTTTCTTATAAAAATAAAGTAAATATATTAATAAAAATACTGACAACAAGTAGAGCGATTTAAGGTCTTATAATAATTACGAAATGACAAACAAGGTTTTTACAAGCCCAAAGGACATATGCAAGTTATAATTACGAAGCTTATAAGGTTGGAAGAATGTAAAGAAAACTTTCGTATCGAAGCGAATTGCATTGACGAGTTTGACATCTCCACGGCCAGAGTTGAACGCTCTAGAAGCTGAACTTGACTCCAAAACACCTTAACACTGCCCTCTTGTATTACCTCTATTGATGCATGAGGAAAATTTAATCCGAAATGCTTTGATCTCATTAAAATAACCACTTTTGCCTTATACGTATTACCTCTCATCTACTAATATAGAAAACTGAAGAGTTTGTTTGTTTGAACGCGCCAATCTCAGGAACTACAGGTTCGAGTTCAAAAATATATTTTGTGTTGGTTATAGCATTTATCGAGAAAGACTTTAGGTTAAACGTCACGATGCAACCAATAGAAGCGAAAATACAGTAGGCAATGTAAAAGAAACGGGGAAAATTATGTTTAAGGGTTTCCGACACACGCATGCTGTGAAAACGAGTCAAGATACCGAAAAAAATATGTATGAATGAATGATTCCTGTTTAAATGATCTAAAAAAAACCCGAGACAGCAACCAATAATCTTTGAAGATTAAATTGCAAAAACTTTTTTTATATGCATATAAAAGCAAAACATAGTACTAAAATCTTTAATAAAATATATAAACGTCGTCAGATGCACTGCCTTCAAACGGTATATAGATCATTTAAAGCCACAAATGGTAATTTATTTAAAGTACTCTGTAATTAACATTTGCTGGTTTTTTTTAATTAAATAAAAAAATTTATTAAATTTGTCAAACTTTGTTAGTCGAAACACGGAAGTGCCTCAATATTAGCCCGCAATGTCACCATTTGACCACAGATTATTCGCATTCTGGCCTTCGCTCTATCTCAAAACACTACAAAGCGATTCCCGGGAACGAGCCGTGAACCCTGCGCGTGCGATCACAATATTTATCTCCGGATGATCCGAGGACGGTATATAAACGGGCTTCGAGAGACACCCGGTATCATTCGCGATTAAACCACCGAGCTGGGCTTCCGACACTCCGGCGACCGTTTTGACCGTCATCTGAATTAATATAATTGGCGTTTAGCACCCTTCCGCGATGCCTTCAATGCGAACGTTGCTCGTCGCTCTCGCCTTGCTATCTGTAGCGGGGATCGAGGGGGCGCCGTTCTTCGATGCGATATACGACGCGATCAACGGGAACGGGAGACGCTCCTACGGGTACAGCGGCTACGGAAACTACGGGTATAACGGATACAATGGGTATAATGGTTATAGACACGTGGACCGCGCGCCGAGGCAGGGGAAAACGTACAAGGAGATCTGCAGGGTGCATTTTCCGGACTCGGTCGCGGTTCCTGGAGCCGGGGGGATAGTGTGTCCCTATTGAGGGTCGGATCGCGTGTTCTACGCTATGGAGAGGTTACTTCGTCGACGGCACATAATGAGGATGGGGTGATCTCTACCAGATCGAATCGAAAGTGTGATCTCCAAGAAATTCTTTTGAATGTGTGACGTGTTGCTGACGTGCTGTGTTGTGTGTTTATTTGATGCATGCGTGATAACCTTGTGATAGTTTAGTGTGAATAAACGTAACGTAACCTTAGTGATTAAATATGTTACAGTGCATAGAACACGCGATCTTAGCAGAGTTGGCCCGTACTTATCGATTTGGACAATGTTTACGACGGGTTTTTTTTTAGTTTTATGCTGAATCGTGCCATTCAAAATTATCATAATTAGTTGTTCATCGCTAAACTTTGTTGGATGATTAAGAATTAAGTAAGATGATATGGTCAAAATTAAAAACGTTGAGAAGTAAATTTGTATTTTAAGTTAATGTTTAAATGTAAATATTATGTTTTAAAATAAATCGAATGCCTTATAGTATGATAATAAGGGTATTGTTTTATTTAATAAGTTCCTCTATTTAAAATATAGTGTAATTGTATTGATTTTGGAGGGAAACAATAAAACCAATATAAAGCACTGCATGTATACTAGCTTATGCAGCAAACGTTGAATGTTTCTTTAACGAATAATTAGTAGTAATGCATGAATAAAAACGATTTTTGCAACATAATCCCAAAAGTTATACATTTTAAGGTCATTTAAAGAAGAATGATTCTTGTTGAACATTGTTTTTGGTTTCTTAAACCGTTTTCGCAGAGCACACAATAGAATCTCTCAAAAAATATGAAAAAATTTCTTCTTTTTTCGTATTGTTCACTGTTTCTACGCCCCTATTGATGGCAGCGTGATGTTATATATCTTAAATCCTTTCTCTATAAATGGTATAGCTATTATAAAATAATTATTCAATTCGAACCAGTAGTTGCTATGATTAGTGTCTTCAAACAAACAAACTCTTCAGCTTTATAATACTAGTATAGTATACATTCTCGATTCCGTAATTAGTCGGTATTTATCGATTAAGCATAAAAACAATTCTTATAATAAATAATGAAATATACATATATAATACAAACGACCAGCAAATTCAATAAAGAGATATCGTATAATTTGTTTCATTTCAGAGTTATCTGTATCGCAACATAAGAAATTGGGCTTACATTGAAGGTAGAAACAATACTGACCAATTATGACAAGATAGTAATTTTGCGTAATTAATGTAGAGAGATGTGTATCAAGGGACGAAGGGTCAGCCAGACCTTGTCGCCTGGGCTGACTCATTAACTCGATAAAAGGCCTGAGGGGACGTGGCACTTGCCGGCGACCGTGTTAACATTTACTCCATTAAAATAAGATTCTTCTAGATAACCATCACTATCTTTTTGCTGAGGACGCCAAACAAACGTAGAGTTCAGTTCACGGAAGGTCAAATGCCCAAGGCATGTCAACGTCTATAGAAGATGAGCTCTCGTCATATGCTTTTGCACATCCACGTAACCTTAAAGTGATTAAACTTTAAGATTTTTCATTTTTAGAAGGTGGTTCGATATACCCACCACCCATGTATTAAAGAGATTGTGAAACAAAATCTAAAATGAAAACAATACGTTGGACTCCGTAATCGGCCCTTCGACGTGTTGGAAATTAGCTCAATCTATACATAGATAAATACTATACCATTAGGCCAACAAGTCTGATAGCATAACGAAAATAATCTAGAGTAGCACTTCTTTCATAAACCACACCATTGTACTATCATGTGTAAAACTCCTTAAGTTAATACGTAATAATTATAGTGCCTATTTCTATAGAACCGATTGGTACGGTCATTGCAAATCATTATTCAATAGATTTTGTAACCAGACTCCCGAGTATTTCGAACCAAGCGATATAAGACCTATTGCATAAGTTCCAAAGCCTTACAAAGCTTTATCTAGATGTAACAATAAAATTTCTAAATACAACGTAGATATAAGCTATAATACTGAAATATTTATTACACACGGATAGGTTAGTTAGTACTATCTGACCAACTGGCAAACGTACTTTTGCCATAAGAAATATTTTGACTAAATTATGGTGACCATAAACACATTTCTCGTTAGTTCGTGGTAAGATATAGACATGTAATGTTGTAGATATATTTTTAATGCTTTACAGATAAATATTTCCTTACTATATATTTTTTGGTTATTTTGAATCGCATAGCACACGCATCTGAAATCCTCCAAAATTCATTATCCTAATTTTTGCCATTTTACCCTAGGTTATGTCTCTCCTTTATAACATTAGTATAGATAAATCTGTTCAATTATTAATAACACAAAATGTTTTAAAGTTACAAGAAATAGAACATAAAAACAACATTACGAACAAACAGCACGGTTTAAAACGCGATATATTAGTTAAACTTATTGAAAATGATTTATAACTTCGGCCCGACGTTTCGGATGCTTTGCAGCAGCCGTGGTGACGGGAGACCAAAGTTAAAAATCATTTTCAATAAGTTTACCTAATATATCGCGTTTTGAACCGTCAAAGTGTTTTATTTAAATGTGTACTACTCGCGTAAACTATAGACAGTATTTAAATATTATTCGCTTAAACTTAAAACGCAGTACTAGGCTACGTATGTACTATGTAATATTTAGCATATTTATAAACACGTAGTCATATAATATAATGTATAAGGCACTTTAAATTCAACAAACGAACTTATCAATAGGGCATAATTTAGATTTTGAACCCGTAGCATGTTTTATTTAATTTTGACAAGCAGTTCTACCGATTTTCTGCTGCCTCAAGGACAAAACTAGAATGTTTATGATCTGATTTAAAATAAATATCAAATGGTATATTTTTTAGTGTTGGTTATTAGCCGTACATTGTAACGAGGACACCAACGAGGCCGTCAAATTAAAACGAAAAAAGGTATATTACAATCAAGACAAATTGTTTCTATTTAGTAATATTTATTTTGTTTTCTACTTCTTAATAGTAGTCATAGCTAAGTATCGGATGTTTTGCAGATATCGTGGTCACGAGGGACCGGGCCAGGGTCCGATACATATCGCGTTTTAAACCGTTTAATGTTTTCTACTCGCGTACACTATAGACAATACTCAAGTATATTCAGATACTGTTTGTAGTTTACGCGAGTAGTACACATTTAATTGAAACACTTTAACGGTTTCAAACGCGACATATGGCCCGAAGTTTCGGATGCTTTGCAGCATCATAGACACGGGGAAACTCGTAGTGTAAATAATTTTCAAATAAAATTATAGTTAAACACTTTAAAGATTTAAAACGCGATATATGTAACGCAAATTAAACGTAATATAGAATAACAACAACGCAATGCAATATATGTGTCAACTATTACTTAATACAAAATTATTTGGGCCAAGTGTCAGACTGGGCCCATCAATCAATTCGGGGGGCCAACGGGTATCTTTGGGACATCAACTGGTGTTTGGCAAATACAGAGTAAACAGTTTAAGAACTGACATGTTCATTTTTTTCAATCTCCGTCGGTTTTATTTATTTGTGGTTTTATTCTACTGTTACTTTATTTATAAAGGCTACTGTTCTGATGGATTATTATTAACATAACTATATATCCTATAAAGACTATTCTTTCAATTGACCCGGTGGCTCATTGGTTAGAGCAACAGCACGGAACGTTATGGATGCTGGTTAAAACCCTGCGCGTGTTGTCAAATTATTCAATTTAGTATATATTAGATTTTTACTTGTATTCATATGCAATAACATGTGAAAAAAAAATTTTTTTTCTAAAATTGTTAATTAATTCTTGATGTAGTAGTTTAGTCTAAGTATACAGTTGTTTAATTAATTAATTTTTATGTTAGAAGAGGACAAAATAGCATAGGATTCGCGTAATGGAAGATGAAATACCCCAGCTATATAACATCTAACACGATGTGCCGTCGACCTATTTTGGCTTTGGATATTCGGAAATTCACAGACTGAATCCGAAAGGCGATTAGACATCATGGCTTTTTCATTTGAAGACGGTATGTTGTGACCCACCCATTTAGTGAACGGATTTCCAGACAGAGTTCAAAATGTTCCAGAACAATTATTTATTGATTAGGATCCGTCGAATGTGGGATTAGAATTATATATTGTTGGTCTCATCCCACATTCGACGGAGGGTCGAATGTGGGATTAGACCAACAAGCCTGTCAAAAAATTGCATAAATAAAACTCAGAAAATTATTCAAAATTGTTTAAGTTAACACTTTTATCTATATATATATATATATATATATATATATTGTTAAACAAACGTTAGGACGGTAATTTTAATATTCCTAAAACAATTAGTTTGGATTATCTTTGGTTAAAACCAATATACGTACTGGGTCTAGTATTCGAGATTCCTTTGCTGTCTATTTATATAAAGCTTTGTAGGGAGTATTTGCATTTATATTATATTATAGTATTTTATTAGTACATTTTAATAAAGGCTGTGGACACGGAGGGGACGGCTACCGCAAAGCGTCCGAAACGTCGGGCCTTAGTTAAATAAGCTAACTAATATATTTCGGGTTTTAAACCGTTAAAAGTGTTTTGCTTAAATTTATACTCCTTACGTAATGAAAAATACACTGTTGAACATTTCTCTACTTATTTAATGTTTTAAGTTAAATAGAAGTCTGTAAGTGTGAAGTTGTATTTCAAAACTTCAGTTAAAGATGTGATTAAATTGAGTTTATAAAAACGCCTTCGCAAATAATGAGGCAAAATCATTCCTGTTCAGTATAACCATTAATATGGTCTAAAATAAACAAGGACAGTTGTTAGGGTTGTATTATTTTTGGTTCAAAATTAATTAAAAGTTATTGTATTCTGATTATAAACTAGAAAAAGTCCACTATCGAAATTATAACACCACTCTGTTAAAACCTGTATTCATAAACTTAGTTTTACCTTTTTTATAATTTTTCA